CACGCATTTGCAATCCTAAATCTATCCAAAAATAGACAAGGAGGGGGCACCTGGGTGGTTCAGTCAGTTAAGCGTCCAACTCTTGGTTTCCGCTCAGGTCAGGCTCTCTGCTGTCAGCGTGAAGCCTGTTTCGGATCCTCTGTGTCCCTCTATGTCCCTTCCTCACTCATGCGCATGCTTGCATGCTCTCTCAGAAAAGAAATAAACATTAAAAAAAACAGACAAGGAGGAGTGAGGTATATGGAGACCAAAATATCAGCTTTATCACTAATGAGTCTGAAGTGAAGAAGCTGCTTGTGACAGAGGGTTTTGGTGCCTCAGGCCAAACCTCTTTGCCTCTAACTTCAGCTGCACCTCTTTTAAGTACCCTTTGTATCTTAACATCCCACCTCAATTACCCACAGTGTCTGCAGAGCCATTACTTACTTACTCAGCAATCCAGTATAGCAGCCAGGAGGTGTGAAAGTCCCTAGGGGTAAACCCTCAATGAACTAAGACAGGAATTGGTGGATAAAGGCTGCATGCTAGAGGGACAATTCTAAGTATACTCTACACAGTTTCTCAGAGGGCCACCGAAGAGATTGAACACATCATTTAACCAGTTCAATAACACGTTTCTTATTGATTTTTCTTCCTCCACTGTCCCATTATACTCATTCCTTCACTCCTGTTCCTGGAGTCCACTCCCAAATACGTTACCTGCACCCGAGTCCTTGTCTGAGACTCTGCTTTGGAAGAGAAACTGAATTAAGACACTTGCTTAGACACACAGTAATTAAATGCAATACCAATGTTACACTGATTTACAGGCCCAAGCAGGCCGTGCAGACGACTGTGATACCTATGATGCGGATTCCTATCCCAGTAAAATGTTTGGCGTGGATGAGAACACAATGAGCGAAGCGCCTCACTTGGCCTAAAAGACACAAGACTGCTTTGCTCACGCACTGTTGTTTTCCCCCAATTCTGCCATCACAGAGTTTTTATCATAATGGATATTGCACTTTGTCAAATGATTTTTCTGCATCTATTGAAATGATCATATGGTTTATCCTTTCTCTTACTGATGTGATATATCACATTGATTGATTTGTAAATACTGAACCACGCTTGCAACCCAGGAATAAATCCCAGTTAATCACAGTGAACGATGTCCAACAGACACATGGAAAGATGCTCACCATCACTCATCATCAGGAAAATGCAAATCAAAACTACAATGAGATATCGCCTGGCAGCAGAGTGGCTAAAATCAACAACACAAGAAACAACAGGCGTTGGTGAGGATATAGATTAAAAACAACACTCATGCACTGCTGGTGGGAATACAAACTGGTACAGCCACTGTGGAAGATAGTATGGAGGTTCTTCAAAAAGGTAAAAATAAAACTACTTTGTGGTCCATCAATCACGCTACGGGGTATTTACCAAAGAATACAAGAACACTAATTCAAAGGGATACATGCACCCCTATGTTTATAGCAGCATTATTTATAATAGCCAAGATATGGAAGCAGCCTGAGTGACCGTCAGTTAATGAATGGATAAAGAAGATATGTAATATACATACAATGGAATATTATTCAGTCATAAGAAGAAAAAAAAAAGAAAGTTTGCCATTTGCAATGACATGGATGGAGCTAGAGAGTATAATCCTAAATGAAGTCAATCAAAGAAAGACAAATACCATATGATTTCACTCACTCATATGTGGAACTTAAGAAACAAAACAAAGGAACAAAGGGGAAAAATAGAGACAGATCCAGAAACAAACTTTTTTTTTAATGTTTCCCTATTTTTGAGACACAGAGAGAGACAGAGCATGAGCAGGGGAAGGGCAGAGGGAGATACACACACAAAATGTGAAGCAGGCTCCAGGCTTTGAGCTGTCAGCACAGAGCCTGACGCGGGGCTTGAACTCACAAGCTGTGAGATCATGACCCGAGCTGAAGTTGGACACTTAACCAAATGAGCCACCCAGGAGCCCCGACAAACTGTGAATTATAGAGAACAAATTGATGGTTATCATAGGGGTGGGAGGGGCAGGATGGGTTAAATAGGTGATGGGGATTAAGGAGGGCACTTGTAATGAGCACCGGGTGATACATGGAATTGCTGAATCACTGTATCATACACCTGAAACAAATATAATGCTGTGTGCTAACTGTACTGGAATTGAAATAAAAACCTAAAAAAGACCTGACAAACATGAACAAAATACTTAATGGCCTTAATTAATATAACTGAAGAAATCCTAAAAGGGTACTTGCAAATTGAATCCAGCAACACGTTAACAAACACAATCACATGTGATATGCTTTCTTAAAATAATGTAATGCAGTTCAGTATTAGAAAGGCTATGGATTATATCATTATGCCATAGAAAAATTATGGTTATTCAGTCGGAGGTTGAAGGGGCAATTGATGAAATTCCCATTCATGTTTTGAAAATTCAGAAAGCCAGAAGGTTATAAACATGATGGCTTACAGATTTCTCATTTATACAGATTTATGTATTTATGTCTATCTATACATATTTTAATATATATTTATGTCATGTATCTTTCATATATATTTCTTATGCTAAATGGTAAAGCAATAAATGCCTTCCCTCTACAGTCAAGAATATGAGAAATATGATCATTTTTATTACCTTTATTTAACACTACTTAAGTTTTAAGACCAGATATGGGTTATAAATCCAGAAAAAGAACAGACAACATCATCATTTTTTGAAAAATAGAACACTACCAGTCTTAGAAGTACAACAAAAATTGAATGAAACATATTTAAATTACGAAAATAGCGATAAGAGACTGAGTTACATAATAAGTATACAAACTGCAAGCATGGCAGAAAAAAAACTAGTTAGAAGGTATAATGGAAAATCTATTGTCTTCAGATTTAAACAATAAAATATAAAGTGTCTAAGAGTAAACTAGATAAAATGAGCAGGACCTATGAGCAGAAAACTATAAAACTTGACTAAATACCATAACGAACACTTACATACATTGAAGAGAGACACCATGTTGTCGGTTACAAAGACTAAATATTTTAAACATGCCAACCCTCTCCGAAGTATTTTCTAAATCAAATCTAACAGCAAGAAGCTAGGCATTTTTAGTTCAAATTTTGCAGAATGTTCGCTTAGATCAATCAGGAAGCAAGAATAAATAAGAAATATTTTTAAAGCAAGACTTGTGTAATCAGATACCACAGTGTGTTAAGTAGAGTAGTTAAACTCAGTGGTACTATTTTGGGAAAAGACAAATGAAACAACAAGGTAAAAATTCTAAGGGAAATGTGTATTTAATAACTCATGACGTTAATGTAAACCGAACCAATAAAGAAACAAAAGGCACTCTAATAAATAACGCTGAGGAAGCACTAATGCGGCAAAGTAGGTTGATCTCTACTTAACTGCAAGATAAATTACAAGCAATGATCTGCGATTTTGAATACAACCTTATAATTTCTAGAAAACTAGCATATTTCTCAGATCCAGTGGATCTTTTGCAGCTAAAGACAAAGAGAGAAACCAGTTTTTCTTTAAACATAAATACTTTTTTTAGCTCCAGGACATTTTATTGTATTTTTATTTTAAAAGGACAGAGAACTAGAGATCAGCAGAAATGCTGTTAAAACTGCTGTTTGCTTAAAGTCGTTCATATTAATAAACAAAAGATTAAGTCTCTGAGTTGAATTTGACAAAATGAAATCACTGCCTTCTGATTTAACTTTCAGGGGTAAGACAGCAAAACCCAAGCATCAGACTTTCTTTTTCTGTCCATCAACACAAATAACAGTATCAATACAAATGATAGTATAAAGAAATAGACACATAGTTATGTCTCAGGTCTCACAACATGAGATACTATATTTAACTCCTAAAGTAAATTCCCATTTTTTTCCTGGGATAGCAGATTAAGAGAAATGTTAATTCCCCCAACTTCAGGTAATTTAGTAACTGATTTTGATTTGCCACCAGATCCAGATACTATGGTGTGAAAAACTAAAACACCCAAATGTTTTCCATGTCATTTAGCAAAGATAGGAGGAAGGAGAATCCTCTGCCAAAACTCACCTGCTACTCCACCTTGACCCCTTTTCTGATTATTCCCTCAGTTCCAGTGTTTCTAAATTGTCAATCCACCCCATTGAGCCTCACCCCAACTTTTAACTCCTTTTGCAACAAGAGACTAGTTTCCTTTGTCAACTAATTCCTAATTTTCCAGGAAACTCTTATTTTTCTGATCTCACATTAATCATAAACCATTTTAAATGGAAGAAATTGCTATAATGCTTAAAATAATTCAAGTCAAACTGAAAACTAGATTCCTTTGGTGTTATGGAAGATACGTTTCAAGCGTTCTGCAAATATATGGGAAAGTAGCAGGAGAACTTACCCTGCCTGGATTCCTAACTACTTGGTATAGTATTATAATCTTGCTTTGATTACTAGCTAGGATAAAAAGGGAAAGAAGCAAAGGCCAAAAAGCATGCATTTTTTGGAAAGAAAATGGCACTTGAAGATTTCTCGGGAGTTCGCCAAGGCATTTTTATATTCATAAGGATTGTCAAACTTAGTACATCACAGTTATTTAAAAGGAAAAGATTGGGACTCCTGATTACCACTGAGTTTGGCAGAAACGCATGTGTATATTCCTCCCTCATAATCACAGTCCTTTTTTTTTTTTAATTTTTTTTTTTAACGCTTATTTATTTTTGAGACAGAGAGAGACAGAGCATGAACGGGGGAGGGTCAGAGAGAGGGAGACACAGAATCTGAAACAGGCTCCCGGCTCTGAGCTGTCAGCACAGAGCCCGACACGGGGCTCGAACTCACGGACCGCGAGATCATGACCTGAGCCGAAGTCGGCCGCTTAACCCACTGAGCCACCCAGGCGCCCCAACACAGTCCTTTTATTAAGGACAGGGAATGTGACCACAGAGCAGAATTAATGAAACAATTTATAAAGACTCTCCAACCAAAAAGAGATGATCACAATCCAGCTTTACTAGATTACAAAAGACTCCCTTTACTCACACATTACTTTCCATACCTCTGAAACATCTGAAAAATAGTTGTCTGTGACTTACTAGATGGTAGGGAATGAGCCCTTTTAGATACATTACAATTATCTGTAGAAGGATTTGGTATCTTTCTCCTGTTAACATTAACTGAATGTTTCAACTGGATCTTAAGAGATGGCTGTCAGTTTTCATTTTCTGAGCCTCTCCGAGATTTTAAATGCTCTCTATCAGTCTGTTTTTTGAACTTCTGGTCTTTGGAATACTTCCTCTGCCCACTTCGCAATTTGTCTGGAAGTGAAGACATATGACGTAGCTGATATTCATCTGGGGACCCTTTTTGCCGGTTGGGCTTCACTTGTTCTTTATCTATTTCTTGCTGAAGCTGATATGCAAAAAACCAGTCCTGCTCTTCCTGTTTATTTCTCTCAGAAGGCAAGCATTCCAAATCTATGACATTCTCGGTAACGTGGATTTCTGTTTCCTCTGGAGCTGAGGAAGCTTTGGGGAACATTTTCTTTCTTTTTGCAGAAATGCATGGATCCGTGACTGCTTCAAACAAAGATTCCTGGTTTTTTCCTTTGGTAATATCTTCACTGATCAGTGGGCAATCGTCTTCATTTTCTGTGTCAACTTTGTTACTTTCAATTATCTGTGTCATACCTGATACAGTGCATGCACTCTCTGTTTCTCCAAAGCAGGGAACTCTGGCTTCAGGTCCCTTGTTATTTAGGACACGTACCTCTTTATCACGATTGCTTCGTTTCATTTTCATTTTTTGTTGAAGGCACCATTCTCTACCGTTGTCATGCAACTGAGGTACAGGTGACTCTACTGAAGACTGTGCAGCCTGTTCCTGAATGTCCATGGATAGTTGTGGAAAAACTGTTGGCATATCTTCTTCACTTACTGTATCTTGCCACACAGGGCTTTTTACGACAGTGGTGTCAGTTTCCTTGGACATGGAGATATTCCTGCTTTCTTGGGCAACTTCAGACCGTGATGTTGACCCAAACTGAAATTTAGGTGAGAAGTATGTCTGAATATCTCCAGTGTTGGTGTTTCTCTTCTTACTTTTCTTTGGAGACTTGGCTGTGACCGTACCAGGTTTTGTGGAATTCAAAGGAGAAGCCACGTCCTTTCTGTCACAGTAATTAAGATTAAAGCTTAGCTTTCTTGCTAGTTCTTCATCACTTTTCAGTTGTTCCTCCAGCTCTCTTTGCCTTTTTCGTGACTGCCGTCTTTCCTCCTCTTCTTCTTCTGCCAATAATCTCTGTATGTATTCTTTACTCATTTTTTCTTCATTTTCTTCAATGGCTCGTCGCTCTGCCTCCATCTTGCTTACCTCCTCTTCATATTCTTTTCTCAATTCCCCGGGCTTACTTAATAAGCAAACTGGCTTAAAGTCATCAACCATCTCCTCTGATTTCTGCCCAGACATTCTAAGCCTGCATTCTTCTGGATAGTGTTTTTGAATCATCTGCCACAGTTCCAGGTTGACAAGAGAATTTCTTCGGGCATGGTACCGGGTCCACGAAGAGATCCGGTGGCGACAGAAAGGACAGCATAAACTTGCCTTTTCGATAGTTGACCGGAAACACTGATTACAGAGTGTGTGGTTACAAGGCAGAGTTACGGGCTCGATTAAGATTTCCACACAGATGAGGCACTGGCATTCCGACAAGGAAGGGACGGCGTTTTGGGGCGCAGCCATTTTAATACGCTAAAAAGTCACATTCGGCATCAATACCAGCTGAGGAGGCTTCCTTATCTCAGTGTGGCCAGGTCCAAGACTGCCCACGCACAAAGCTTCGGGACCCCAACTCCACAAAAAACACTGTTTTCCCCCTGGGGGGCCAGAGCATGGCTCCCATTTGACTGTTAGCGTGCGGCCAACACGCAGAGGAGCATGGGATGACGCAAGCGTCCGGCCTCTGTGCGCCTGAGCCCACGCCCCGCTTTCTTGCGTCAGCCGTGAAGCCTAATGTTTGCGACAGTGCCGTAGCAACCCAACGAGGGCTAGTGACCAAAAAACATTTAGCTTCATAATATTAGTTTTTTAAATTTAGAAGAAAAAATGAACAAAAATAACAAAATGGATGCCAGGGAAATCTTTGAAAAATGACAAGGGATAAATATTTTCACATATAAATAATTCTTAACATGATAAATATCCCCCAATTGAAAAAAAAGGGCACATAACATTAATGGTCAATCAACAAAGGAAAAACTATAATGGCCAATTAAAAAAAATGTTTTTCCATCTCACTAATACTAGAGTCAATTAAGCTATTTTATCTCCATTCATTCATTCATTCATTCAAAATACATTCATCTGGGGGGCCTGGGGGGCTCAGTCGGTTAAACATTCGACTGGTATTTTCAGCTCAGGTCATGATCTCACAGCTCGTGGGTTCAAGCCCTGCCTCAGGCTCTGTGCTGACAGCACGGACCCTGCTTGGGGTTCATTCTCTCTTTCTTTCTCTCTCTCTCTCACTCTCTCTGACCGTGTCCAATTTACATGCTCTCTGTCTCTCTCAAAATAAGTAAATAAACTAAAAAAAACCCACAAAATACATTAATCTAGGACCCATTTTATGCCAAGTACTTTTGTGGGTCACTAAGAACAGAGAACTGTATGAGACATTACCCCTGACTTTATGAAAAAGACAGGGGTGCCTGGGTGGCTGAGCCGGTCAGGCATCTGACTCTTGGTTTTGGCTCAGGTCATAATTTCATGGTTTGTGACATCGAGCCTCACATTGGGCTCTGTGATGATAGCATGAAGCCTACTTGGGATTCTCTCTCTCCTTCTCTCTCTGCACCTCCTCATGCTCTCTCTCTCTCTCAAAACAAGGAAACTTTGAAAAAAACAGAAAAACAGAAACTAATCAAATAAGAAAACAACAGCATGACTTCAGATATTGATAAATACATAACAAATACCAAGTATGCTAAATTTATAGAGAGCCGCTGGGAATACTATTAGCATGCAAGAAAAATAGATATGATCTTTTCAGACTAATTTGGCAATCTGTATTAATAGTTTTGAAATTTTTATACCTTTTTAAAACCTTTTACCTGGAAATAATTTAAGAACCCCAAGAACTGAAAAACATAGTAAAGTATTCCTATGATAGTTTCTCCTACCTTTCCCCAATGATAACATCTTACATAGTCATACTAAAATATCAAAACCAGGAAACTGACATTGGTACAATACTATTAACTCAATTATAGGCCTTATTTAAATATCTTTAGTTTTTACATGTATTCATCTGTGTTTTTGGTGCGTAGTACTATGAAAGTTTTTCACCTGTATAGATTCACGTAACCACTACCACAATCAGGATACAGAAATGTTCCATCACCACAAAAACTCCCCAATCATATCCCCCTTATAGTTTCATGTCTTCCCATTCTAACCCGGACCACCAATGATCAATTCTCCATCACTATCATTTTGTTATTCTGAGAGTATTATATAAATGGAATCATACACTATATAATCTCATGAGATTGGCTTCTTTCTTGACTCAGCATAATGCCCTAAAGATCCATCCAAGTTTTTGTGGGTATCAAAAATTGGTCTCTCTTCATGGCTGAGTTATATCCTCGTTATATGGGTGAACAAGTTTCTTCACCCATTCACCCATCAGAGGGCATCTGGGTTATTTCCAGTATGGGGCTATTACAAATAAAGCTGCCATGAATATTCGTGTGCACAATTTCACAATTGTGATTACTGGGTCCTATGACATGTAAATAGCATAACTTTATAAGAAACTGCTGCACTGTTTTCAGAGGGTTGTGGCATTTTACATTTCCATCAACAATCTATGTCAGATTCAGTTTTTTCACATCCTGCCAGCATTTGGTGTTGTCACTATGTTCTGTTTTAGTCTTTCTGATTAATGTGCACTGATATCATGCCTTTTATTTGCATTTACCTAATGCCTAATGTCCCTGAACATATTTTTATGTGCTCATTTACCCTCTGTATATCCTCTCTGGTTAAATGTCTGGTCACCTTTTTTGCATATTTTCCAATGGGAATATGATCTTATTGTTGAGTTTAAAGCGATTCATATATATGGTGGATATAAGTCCTATGTCAAATATGTTACTTGTGAAATTTCTTAGTCAGTAGCTTGTCTTTTCATCCTCTTAATACATTCCCTTACAGAGTAAAAGTTTAAAACTTTTGATAAAGACCAATTTGTCTTTTTTATTTTCTCTTATGGATTGCACTTTTGGTGTCATGCCTAAAAATTCTGCTGAACCAAAATTATAAATATTTCCTCCTGCATTTTCCTATGAAAATTTAAAAGTTTTATACTTTACATTTATTTTTTTAAGTTTTATAGTTAACATTTAGATCTATGATCCATTCTGAGTTAATTCTGGTGTAAGGTGTGAGGCTTAGGTTGAGGTTTATTTTCTGATCTATGGATACATCCAAATGTACAACATGATTTACTAAAAAGATCATCATTCCTCCAGTGAATTGCTTTTTTCATTAACAAAAATCAGTTGGATATACTTGTGTGAGTCACTTTCTGGACTCTCTATTCTGTTCCCCTAATCTATGTGTCTGTTCATTTCTCTATAAGACATTGCCTTGCATTTATTTCTTTTGATTCAACAATTTTATTTCTATGAATTTATCTCTAAGACAAAAATATAAGAATTCTCCATAAGAGACAGACATACATTGAAAAATGTGCATGTAAGAATGCCCATAGCAGCATTTTTTACATATTGAATAACTGAACAATCTAAAGTCTATCAAAGAACAAAGGTTAAAGAAATTATGATTTCAGATTCCAGCAAAATGACTTTACTTAGCTAATACAGGAACTCTTCCTATAAAACCCAATGATGTTGGATAAACCTAATACATTTTAATATAGAGTTGACTTCAAAAAATGTGAACTCTTCAGGAGCCAGAATTGAAGAGCTTCCTGAGAGCCAGAATTCTAGAAGTACATGCTGATTTTTGTGGAGCTCTGGACACAGTACTAGCCCAATGATAGGAGGATCTTGATTTCAATGCACACATATGTAAGGCTGATCACAGATTTGTTCACTCAAGGTGGAACACTAGAACTGAGAACTGGGATTATGATTGAGACACTAGAAAGACTAATCCTAGTGAATGAGAAATAAAAATTCTCCACCTATCTACCCAGTGAAATGACAATAAACCTTTAGAGTGAAATTAAATTCCTATGATGGAGCCCCACATAGGTAGAATCTACTAACCCCAAACTTAGCCTAGGAACCTCCAAGACAGTAAATTAACATAAACAATTGTACCTGGCTATCGACACCCTCCACAGCCTAGAAAGCCTAGCAGGAAAAAAATACAAACCATCTGCAGAAATAACCCAGGCCACAAGATTCCTCCTAAACAACAACAACACAACAACAACAACAACAACAACAACCTCCGCTTAAAATGAACTAACAAGTTTAAAAATATAGGTGCGGGGTGCCTGGGTGGCTCAGTCAGTTAAACCTCCAACTCTTGATTTCGGTTTGGGTCATGATCTCATGGTTCGGGCTGACAGTGCAGGGCCTGCTTGAGATTCTCTCTCTCTCTCTCTCCCTCTAGCTCTCTCTCTCTGCCCCTCCCCCAATCATGCACGCTCTCTCTTTCCCCCCTCAAAATAAATAGACTTAAAAAAATAAAAAGAAACTAAAAATAGAGATGAAATCTGCAACTATATCAAGACCAACAGATACTATACAAAGAACTTGGAGAAAAACCTATAGACGGCCTGTTATGAGTTTACAACCACACTGTCCAATATAAACATGATGTAAACCATGAATATGAGTCACCTATATAATTTTAAAGGTAATTAAATGTTCACATCAAAAAGGAAAAGAAATAGGTGAAATTAATTTCATTAGTTTAATATTTTACTTTAATTTTTAAAAATCCTTTTTTTCTATAAATTGTTTGAAATCCTGTGTATATTTCATATTTAAAGCACATCTTAATTCGGACTAACCACATTAGAAGTGTTCAAGAGTCATATGGAAGCTGGTAGCTATCATATTGGACATTGCCTGTAGGTTATAAAGTAAGTAGATATAAAATGAGTTATAGGACTCATTCATTCAATGATGATTCACTGAGTTCCTACTATGTACCAAACACTAAGAAAGCCACAGTGCACTCAAATAGATAAAGTTCCTATATTCACATGGCTTAAGTACCAATGTGTGTGGAGGAGGGGGCATAGAGAAATACAATTAACAAGAAAATATATATTATGCTAGATGGTGATATGTGTTGCAGGAGAAAAAATTAATCAGGGCAGCACAGATAAGGAGGACCCTTGTGTGTGCACATGTGAGGTGTAGGGGTTATAGGGGTATTACCTTATGCCACTTATTAATGAACATCTCATAAATAAGGTGATATTTGAGCAGGGACTTATAAACAAAGAAGCAAATACTGGAGATTATCAACAAAAAATACATAGTCACTGATTTTTTTTTAAAAAAGCTCTGCATAAATTAAACAGAAGATTAGACATAGCTGAAGAAAGGATTAGGACTCAATTCAGAAAATGTAGTGTAGTAAATATTTTCAAAGGTTTTCCAGCTGAATACATGAATTCAGCAAAGTCGCAGGGTACAAAATCAATGTACAGAAACTGGTTGCATTTCTGTACACCAATAATGAAGCAACAGAAAGAGAAATCAAGAAATCAATCCCACTTACAATTGCTCCAAGAACCATAAAAATATCTAGGAATAAACCTAACCAAAGATATAAAAGATCTGTATGCTGCAAACTATAGAAAACTTACAAAGGAAATTGAAGAAGACACAAAGAAATGGAAAAACATTCCATGCTCAGGGAATGGAAGAATAAATATGGTTAAAATGTCAATACTGGGGC